AGGGCGACGACGAGGCATCTCTAAAAAAGTAAGAAAGAAGAGGGTATTTGTTCTTGAAAATCCCTGAGGAAGTTTCCCGAGGGTTAAATCGCTATGTATCAACCGGATGACACCTCCAGTCAATCGGAAAACAAAAAGCTAGGAGGAAGAAAAGAAAGGGGATTCTGAAACTCACCCGAATGTCAAAACGGAGTTTTTTCTGGAAAACCTTAAAGCGACTCCCTCCAGAAAGTTCAGAATCAACGATGGGTCTGCTGGCTTTAAGATTTTAAGGAAGAATGGGCAGTCGACGATGGAAGAAGAAACAAAACTCCGGCGAAGATTCAAGAAGAGGCTCTCTTGAGGAAGTTCGAAATGGCAAAACGAGAAAAACGGAAGAGGAGCCCCCTTTATATAGAGGCAATTTTCATCATTGGGCGCGAAAAACGAAACGGCGCATTTAATGCGCACGACATCCCAAGCCGGGGAAAGCGGCTCGAGACAATGATGAAGTACTGGTGGTTGTTGGGAAACCCTTCGTCTCCTTACGACGCGTGTCCTCGGTGTCAGAAGATCGAAGGCTGGGGGGCAGTTGATGGGACTTTTCTGAAATACCCTATGATGAAGACACGTGTCCTCGGTTTTACTAAAACACTGTTGCTAAGATCAAGCACCATCGGCGCACGAATGTCCTCACCCCCGAGGTACCGTCATATAGGATCATACATTCAGTATATTTTACAACCGACACGTGGCCTCGGTCTGATATGTACCTCGGTCGGCATACCTCCCTCGGTCCCCGAGATGAGCCTTTCCTCGGTGCCGAGAGGTACCCCGTCCTGGACGCTTCCTCTACTCCAGGATAAGCTATTGACGTACAGATCATTAGCCTAGGCTATTCATCATGACCTTGTCTTACACAAGTAATGTCAGAACGTACTGGAATACAGAGGTCACAGCCAATAGGGGATGGACGCGTGGCATATGATATCACATCAAAGACAGACAAACCGCATGCCGTTGCTGACACGCGACTTGGGAAAGCAAACAATTAATTGCACCATTCCCTTGATGAGACCGCATTCAATGCGGTAAGGCTCGGAAATGAAAGGCAATAAATGCTCTTATTACAGAGCATTTATTGTATCCTCCCCGAGAGGAGCACATTGTACCGTCGGCATCCCGATGATCCAGCATTGATTGCTCGGGACCCCGAGCAGTTAATTAGAGAAAACATTCCTCATCAGAATCGATGTACACGCTACCTGTGCCTAATGATCACCTACTGACCACACTGACAACAATCATGAGCTTTTAAGGTATAAATACTCCTTGCAAAAGGCAAAGCGGGTATGCAACAACAAACTCTCTACTACAATACACACTCAGTGTTTTCTCCTTCCTCTCTCTCTCTCTCTCAAAGACTGACTAGATCGTCGGAGGGGATACGCCGAAAAATACTCCGGCGCCCTTCTAACTTGTTCTTCTTTGTTCCAGGAACCTCTTTCAGCCTTACTGGATCGCTCTTCCGTTCCCAGGATCTCTCATTGCCGTTCCAGGCTATCACCGTACCTTGCAGGTTGTTCCAAGCAGCGTGTTTGGTCACTCAACGGGCTCACTCGAAGTTCACCAAGGGAGAGATCTGTTCTCATTTTTTTATATTATGCAGGATCTTGCACGCACAATTATGTTGTATTATTGTTTTATGTGAAATTCATGTGTTAATTTATATTGAATGTAGGTTCATCGACAAAAAAAAAAGCTAAATTGCAGCGTGTTAATAACCATGCAGCGAAATTCCCGCCCAAGTGACTCTCTCTTCTATGCCATGCAACGAAATTCTCCCAATGATGGACGTGGTATTGACTGAAACAAAACAAACACCATCTTGACCATGAAACAATGACATTACATATCAGTTTACCTGAACTGAAACAGAGGAGGGTTTGAACTTTGAATAGAGTCATTACCCAACAAATTCAAGAGAACTTTTGCAACAGTGTAAAAAGATCCAAAATGGTGTACGGAGTACTAAAAGTAGCACAGAATCTGAAATTGGTACCTTTCTCTTGCCACTTTCTGTTGGGTCTTTCTCTGCTTCAGAGCTGGGCCTTTTTTTCTCTGACTAGGGTTTTCATCGTAGAGTTTGAATGAGCATTTATGATACTGAAATCAATGTTTATGCTTAATTAACAGCTTCTGGTTAACTTTTTGATCTCTTTTTGGAGTTGGGTTTGTGTTTTCCTTGACTTTGGGGGGCTATTTCGAAATGTGGCCTTTTTGTGCTTAATTTTAGTGCTTGGTATTTTGTTCCAATTCTCTATTTTTTATTTCAGCTCATGATATGAGTGGCTTGCCTGATTTTTAATATGGTAGTCTTTGTTTTCTGGTGCATTTAGCTTCTTTATGAAACTTGTCTGCTAACCCTTGATTAACACACTGCTTTTTTTTTTTTGTTTAATTTTATATTTCATGAGTTTCAAATTCGGGGGTCTTTGTTGAAATTAGCTTATAAAGTTATTGCTTCTGTAAGAGTTTGTAGTTTTCTATATGATATCTTTCATTTTCTCTTATGGGTGTTTAATCTTCGTTGAGGTTACTGAGAAATTATGGCTTTTTTTAGGGTGGTCAGTTCTGAAGCTTCAATTTATTGGGTTATTTGTTTTGTTCAGACACTGCTGTAAGGGAGGGGTATCTGCTTCTGGCTACTTCTGTTTTATGGCTGAATAGGAAAAGGGTTGCCTGATGGAGGAGTAGTCTTCACCCAGTTTTGATTATAAAATGAGCTGGGTTTTATTATTAAAAAAAATATATAATTTAAACGCCGGAAAACAATAATTCAGAAATAATAATTATTGGCGTTTAAATAAACGCCGTAAGATAGCTCCGGTCACCAAAATTTTAAAAGGAAGTCGTCGATTAAATAAGTGCCGCTTAGGTGGGTAGCAAACGTCACTTAGTTTTTGTGGCGTTTAATTATACGCCGGTAATTTGTTCGACGGAGGTTTCGCCGATGTTATTAACAAACATCAATAATAATATTTTGTGACGGTTATTTATATTTAACGGCGTTTATTAAACACCGGTAAAAGTCTTTTTTCTTGTAGTGATCATATTCAATCAACTGTCCTAGCAAGAACAAAGTGAATTTCTTCGAAGTGCGTTGTTCTCACCCTAATTATCTAACATATTATAGAACACAATTCTTTTCTGTCCTGGGCAAAAATTATTTCCTCTAAGACAAGCACCACTTCAAAAATAAGATATTTCTCGGTTACTTGTTGGTTTTCTTTCTAAAAAATGATGAAGTTGGATCCCCATGAAAACATAGGCGAAATCATTGTAAAACTTTTTGTACCATCTTTCAAAACATTCATCTATCTAATTGATGAATCATAAGAAGAAAATGCATGGTTCAGATGCTAAGTAAAAATAAGAAGGAATAATAAAATTGAGTTTCTGAATTTACCTCGGTCAGTTTATAAGCCAATAAAGGATTCTTACCTTCGAAACCCATTGTTTTAAACTAAATGTTAAGAAAGTATCCTGAAATCATGTTAAGATATCTGAGTTGATATTTTTCTCGTACTGGGATACAGATTATGGCCTGCATCAATATCAATCATTCTGCAATAAGATAATTAACAAAAGGCCTGCATTTGCTGCTAATAGGTGCAGTAATTATGCTTGCATTCATGAAATTATTATGGAATAGGTGGAGCTTCATGTGCAACATGAAATTAAATTTTGGGTTTTGTTTGATGCCCTCAATACTAGGTTCACTCATCAACCTGCCAATGATACAACAAAGAAGTAGTGCAACTATGCATTGTGTAAGTGAGAACACCCTAATTTGTATTTTACAATTAAAATGCTTCTGCTGTTGCTATTTGTGAACCAGAGTTATCAAGGTGAGAGGTTCTTTTCAGATAAATTGGAATGGTTATGTTGTGAAGCTATATGGTATGTGCCCATATGAAAAACTACTTTATCACAAGAAAAATAAAATATAAAAAATAAAAAAAAAGCAGAAAAAACTGCAAAAATTACCAAACCAAAAAAACAAAATATCAATTAAAGGAAAAAAGGATATCAATGAGGAAAACTGCAGATTGGAATTAGGTCCCCAGCCCTTTTTTTCTCAGCAAAAAAAAAAACTCTAAACAGTGATACTTGTATTGTCCATCGAATCAAAGCAAGTTTATGCTCACTCTCTCTCTCTCTCTCTCTCAGCTTAATGAAGAGAATTAAAGAAAATATGGATATAGATGAGGAAAGAATCGAAATGGAAATTCATTACTCCCTGCTAGTCAGCATAAAGCAGGCTATCACAAGAAAGCTGAAATCCCTGGAATTTAAGTCCTCAGGACAGAATCAGCAGCTACAACTGTGGTGGAACCTATCCAATGATTGCCTCTTGTGAGCAGAAGGGCATGATCACAAGTTTATAACAAATGTCTCCTTCATTTGTTAGCAATGTTTTGTTTGGGATGCTAGTTTCCACTGATCCTACACAGCATACCTGGCCCACAGAAGTAGGGTTCTGCTGAAATTAGGGCTCACTAAATACAAAATTTACCCTCAAAAAAGAATCGAAATGGATATTGGAGATATCATAAAAGAGGATAAGGGTGATGTAAATTCCCTAATTAGTACTGGCAGGGCTCTCGGATGATGAAGAAAACGAGATATTGTTTATGACAAACAATAGATAATGTAGGTGACACATTTAATTGCCTAGTCGCAGCAATTTTTCAGAATTAGAAGTAATATCCGCAAATTTACTCTCATTTTGAAAACAAACGAACAAAGATCTTAAGTGCCAAGTTTTTTTTTTTTTTTTGGGTAAGTAAACAATGTATTGATACCAACGAGAATATACAAGTAAAGGCATCACTTGTCTGCCGGACTCATGCAAGACAAGTTCCATACATAAAAAAAACAGAAAAAATCTGAGGAGAATGCTGAGAGCCAAGTTATCAACTGCGAAGGATGAACATCAAAAAAAACATTGAGCGAATTTACAAACTAGTACTTGCACTCTCAGATGAATTCAGAAGCTCATCCAGCAGATCTGCACCTAATTCTTCAAATACCAAAACATTATTAGAAGTTTCTTAGACCTATGAATCATTTCCTTCATTTATTTGTTTCCCTTTCTTTCTCCTACCTTTTGACATACTTCTAATCTTGTGTGTTTCCTTCAGGGCTGCAGCTGGGGAATAACCATCCTTGTAGCTGAACTTCATTTTCATGACTCAAAGCGATTCCTGAACTCTCTCTGTTGGGAAGTTCGGGAGAGCCAACTGGCCTCGCATAAAAAATGCAACTTGATCTAAAGCCAAAGCACCCTCCTCAGCAGTATCAAACGTTCCGAGCCAAACCCCTGTTCCTTGCCTTGTTGAATCCCTAATCTCGGCCGCAAACTTTCCCTATGGACTCCTTCTAACTCCTATATAGTGTTTTTCCTTTACAGGCTCTTCTTTGTTCGCATTGGAATCGATCTTTTCTTTCTTTTCTCCCTTGGAGAAATCGATTTCCACTGGTTCTCGGGCGTCCTCTGTAAACATCTTGAATTCAAGTTTCTCTGCTGCATCATATTTGTGTAGTGGAAGTAAATCATTAGCAAAAAAAAAAAAGCTCATCCCATGATGAGGATGGTGGAGACTCTGCAGAGAGTTTGACACTTGGGCATTGAGGGGTTGAAATATTCATCTGCAAATAGATGACTTCTGAGGTTTAGAAGTTATGCCATCTGCTACGTTGACCAACTCCTTAATGGGAACCCAAGGGTACCACGGTGGATGAGTTTGAATATTTGTAATTTTCTTAAGGTTAGGTCACGAGTGATTTATTCCTTATGAATTTCTTAATCCCAACATTGATAACTTATTTTTAACCGAATCAGAGAGATAATTAAACGAGATGAGCGCACCCAAACACCAATATATTGAGTAAAGCAGCACATCTTGGCAAGGGTGGTGTCAATAAGTAGTAATTTGATGTCAGCCTTGTCCAAGCGGCCTTTTTATCAATCTGATTATTGAGTTGAGGACACATGTAGGTTGGGTTTGTCAGATTTCTGATTTTCAAATGAATCACTCATTATCAGATTACATTTAAACTAATGCACTCAACTAATCAGGAGAAAATTATTGTATTTTCTTGCCATTTGTTGTAGTATCCTTATCTTGCAATAATATTTGAGTCTGTAACGAAATATTTCTGTTGGAAGGAAATTAGTGCAACGCAAATGCATATTGTTTTTCCTCAACCATAAACGGAGGGAAATGAAAGCAAGCTCACTTAGGGAGCTAACAGGGCGAGGCTCATTGCCATCAACAAACTCACTCCATAGCCGACAAGGGAAAGGATACCAGAGGGGGACTTCCTGAGTTTATGAAGAAATACACAACTTGATAGGTCTCTTCTATTTGAAAGTGGCCTTTCTCCCAGGTAGTTTCACCCGCCCCTTTCATTTCTGTGTCAGAGGAAATGGGATTTGAACCCATAATACAACCTTCTTGTATGTTGATTTAGCAAACCAATGCCTTAAACCACTCAACCATACCTCCAAGTTGTTGATCGAAATGGAATTAGATGTGCCGGCTCTTCTATGTTGCCCGAAGGCCTATCTGATCCGATCAACTGCATAAGTCTTGGAGTTACAATAGTTTAGTCTATAAAGGAAGGATAATTGATCGCACTTGGAGCAGAACCACCTAACGGTGGCTCTTTACTCCCTCAAGAAATTGATTTGATATTAAGAATTTTCATTTTTTTTAGCATTTTTTTCATAATAAAGCATCCACAAAAATAAATGAATATTTCAAACCTTTACAAAACCTCAGGGTCATCTGTTAACATTACATACAAAATTAGCAATAACCCCATATTTAAAGACACTCTATACGTAATACCAAAACTCAAGCATTAATCGTGCAATACTTACATTTTAAATAAAAATTTATTTTTCTTTTCATTTCTTTAATTACACTATTTAAAATTAAAATGAACGAAAAGAAAATAACGGAGATAAGGGAAAGAGAAAAAAGGTGTAGGTATGACACACCCAAAATCAAATCACAAACATAGAGGAGAGATAAAAGAATTTAAGAACCGATTCTAATGGAGGTGAGAGGTGATAGTGAGGGTGAGATATGGTAGTGGTGATGGGTATGTCACGTCCTGAATATCCACAAACCCAAGGAGTGAGTGAAAATGGAAAAGAAAAATAACTGAAAGGTCATTAGGTTAAATAAATTGGTTTCTTATTCATTTTTCATGTTTTCCCAAAGTTTTTTCAGCCACTTTTCTTCTATTTTTAGCCTATTTCTTCAAGGTTTCTAAACCCCTCCTTTTGACATCCTTCCCACCAATTTAAAAGGTGTTTTACACATTTAACAAGTCTTTTAATTTTTCATAAAATTTCGACATAACCTCCTTTGTTTCCATGCCTTTTTCCCACCTAATATTCACAATATTTCATATGCATAATTATATCATAATCCACCCTCACTCGGTGGCCACAACCCATGTAAATTAAACATACATCTTTTATTCTCAACATATACATCTAATTGCCCCAATATACGCATATGATACTCACTAAATAAAGACATCCCAAATATCAATTGAGTTTACATTCTTACACATTAAAATGGTTCAAGACATTTAATCCACTACTTTTTTCATACTAGAATACAAGTCATTTGGGCTTATGCCCATACATAAAAAGTATGCCCAAAAGCCAAATATACATTCAACTCCCTTTCTCTAATTCCTCTAAGACTTCCTCAAGTCTCAAGTACCGAGAGCCTCATCTGTAATATGATATCCCACGAATGAATCAACTCAACTGCTGGTATGACAAAGTGCTAATGCTAGGAACAAATTTAAGGTATGACATGTGCAAGTGTACATTTTTAAAAGCTACAACCCCATAATATGTCAATGCTATGCAATGTCAATATGCATGACACACCCATGCAACTCTAAGCCACCCATGTCTCGCTTTACGGTATGCCCCCGTCAGCCTGCGAGTACTGTCATTGGCCAGATTTTAGATTTTTCACCACAGGATCTATACCCTCATAATGCATAGCACCAAGTGCTCAATCCACACTATGTTTCAAGGATTCATGTATGCCAAGATGTCATGATTTTTTCTCTATGTAAATTCTATGAAACATTTTATCAAACACCTTATCTATATGAATATGAAGCACCATTCAATGGATTAAACATATGATCAAGCTTCATATTCCTATGAAACATTTCATCAAACATCTTATCTACATAAATGTGAAGTACCATTCAATGGATTTAAACATATGATCAAGCTTCATATTCATTATTTTCACAATTTTTCAAAGAAACTACAAATACACAAACTACCAACTCATGTAATAAATCATAACTCTCAAATTACAAGAGTTTCTCTATATGAACATAATCTATAATATAATAATTCAACACATAAGCAATATACACCTTCACCATAGCAATAAATTGTCAAGAAACTCAAAGAACACAAAAGTACTTAGACCACTAATTCTAAGTTTTCAAAGAAACTACTAACTAAATGATTTTCTAACATTAAGTAAATACCTAAATCATTCAATCAACACATAGGAAGGTAAGAAAACTTAAATCTATTCCCAACTTAGCAAAATATCTTTCCTAAATTGGTTTTTCTCAAACCATGGAAGTTGTGTTCGCTTTATAGCCGAACCGATCAATGAGAATATAGCTCTTATTGAGAGGAACAACTTTTAGAAGGAAGTCTTGCAAGAATCTTGGCCTAGGATTGAGTTTTGGTGGCTTGAAGCTTGAAGAACCTAGGATTTTTCTTCCCTTTTCCTCCAAAAAAGTGTACTAACCTTTCTCAGCCAAAAAATACTTATATTTTTACATTAAATGGATGTATTTATAGTGGAGGGCAAATGTGCAAAAAGACCCTTTTGTCCTTGATGAATCTGGGACCCCATTACACTACAACTCGTCCTGAAACGCTTCAATTTAACATTTTATTTTAACCAAAATTCTTAAAATTATTTTAAATAAAAACTTTCAAAAAAAATATATTTTTGCTAGTGACCGGGTTTGGCCGGTCCCACCTAAGCCACCCGGGATACCCTTTCGGTCTAATTTTTAAAATTACTTATGTTTTTACTCAAATTTGCACAATAGGTGTATTTTAATATTCTAAGAATGTTTCTCTTCTATGACATATTCAAATTATGCTCTTAAATATGACTTATTCTTAAATGATGCATATGTAGTGCCTTATCAACAAATGGTGCAGGAATAGTGCCCTACCGACAAAACTGAAAATTTATCCTCACTTTTCAAATCTCTATAGGGTAGCAGTTATGATTTGTGGTGGGCGACGACGACCGTAGTGGTTGTGACAACCGTGAGTAGCAACAGTGATGGTGGTGGTGGGTTTTCGGTGACGATGGTGGTAATGACGGGCGACGATAATGATGGTTAGCAGTAATGGTGGTGGGTGGTGACAATGGTGATAGTGGGTGTGGGTGGTGGTGTTAGCTGTGGTGAGGGTAAGTGACAGTCGGTGGCGACGGCGGTGGGTGTGAGTGGTGAGGGTAGGCGTGGTGGGGGTGGGTGATGGTGGGTGGCAATAATGGTGGTGGGTTATTGTAGTGGGTTGTGGTGGGTGGTGGTAGACAACAATGGTGATGGTGGTGGTGGTGGAATGATAATGGTATTAGTAATAAATATAAATATGAGATGATGATAGTGATGAATAATGACGGTGGGTGGTAGTAATAGCTATCAGTGATGAGTGGCGACGGTGATAGTAGTAAGTGTTGACGAAGGCTATAATGATGGTGGTGGTAGTGACAATAAATATAAAAATGAGATAATGATAATAGTAGGTGGCAGCGATGGGTGGTGGCTATATTGGTGATGGTGGCAGAGGTGGCAGTGGTGGTGATAGTTGTGGGGCTAGGGGAGTAATGGTGATTGTGGTGGGGCGGTAGCAGTGATGGTGGGGTGGCAGCAGCAATAGTGGTGGTGAAATGTTTTTTAGAAAAGTGATTTTAAAGAAGTATACATTATTTTTTTTTATTTTTACTTACTTATTTAAATGGTAAAACTATTGTTGACTTATGTGAAAGTAATTAAAATAAGTTGTTAAATAAGTTACTTACTTATTTAAATGGTAAAACTATGGTAATACTATCCTTTTTTTTATGGCAATGTTATTAGGACCTAATTTGCTGACCTAATTCACTATGATCTTTAGATTAACTGTAGGGCCTATCAAATATTGGAACTTGGTGTTGATCCAATGGATCTACTGAAGTCACATCATTATGTCAGCAAATTAAGTTAGATTTTTAGGTCCAAATAGTATTACTTTTTTTTCCTTGAAGTATTTATAAGATGTCATAAGTTATATAAGTGTTTTTTAAAAGTCACTTCAAACACACCTTTAAGAGATCTATTTTTTCTATTAAATTTAGGGAGTTAATATTAGTTGTCGATTAATTTTAAAGTAAAAATTAAAATATAACTGAGAAAAGCAAAAACCATTTTTTTATTTTCTCTCTCTCTCTCTCTCTCTCTCTCTTTTATGTCTACGCCCGTGTGTACAAATAATGGAATTAAAAAAACATTTACAGATAATTATAGAATATTATATGGGGTGTCATTCGTCGGACTTAAAAAGTGACTAAGAATCCATGACCTTCCAATGACATATTACCAATGAGTCTTTGGTCCGATGGTACTTCTTGTCTTGTAAAGACTTTGTCTTCTTGAGGTCAAGGGATCAAGTCCCTCCTTTCCCTGCTCCTCCCTGTCCCCTTCCCCTTCCCAAAAAAAATAAAAAAAATAAAAAATATATATACTCGATAAAACAGTTGCTACTCCATCATTTCACTAAACATATTGTAATTTATGAAATAATTATAAGAAATAGACACCTAATTTTGAACCCTCAACTCTTTATCTCAAATAGAGTCTCTCTAATCTATTTGGATGTCATATTCTTTTTTGATTGTATATAGATGTCATATTCAGTGCCCGCTCAATAGTAGAAAAAAGAAGTATGAGTTTTAGGCCTTAGATATAAAATAAGGCCTTAAATTAGAGAGGTCAATAATGTAATATAAATCAAAAATTAAAACTCAATACAATTTAGTCAAATAAAAAAGTTCCTAAAAGGATAAACCAACAAAAATAATTTTAAAATTTGGGCACAAAAGTCTATCCCACTTCAAACAATCACTTTTGTTGAAAGACAAAAAAAGTTAACAAGAAAATTTGGCATCATCAATTTTTTTTCAATTTCACCTCTCAATAATGATATAAGTATCAATCTTTCTCTCTCTTGCACAAAAATAAAAACAAAAACAATCTCAACACATTCTCTACTACTCTCAAACTAGATTTTATTGTCATTTAAGCACAATACACCAACTAAACTATTCATTCTCATAAAGGATCCAAAATAAAAATTGATTTAATTTCAAAAAAATCTTTTGATAAAGTTGTTTCTTGTAACAAATAAACTATGAAAAAAAAAATTAGTTGAAAGTTTTTT